CCGGGAGGGGTAGAAAGATATCTTCAATTTTTACTTTCTTGGGTTCTGCCAGTTCACAATATTCTTTCATAAGTTGGCCTGTTTTTCTACCCCAGGACTGTTACACAAGTCATGGGCTGGTGATGAAAGTGATCGTATCCTGTTCCCCTTGTGTCGTGCCGCAGAAAGGATGTGTCTTTGAAACCCAGCTGCAGCCTTTATAAGGCTTGTGGACACGGAGCAGAACCCGGTTTGGCAGCAGGACGTGATCAGAGAAGCATTGCATTGATGTTAACATGCAGGTTAAAAAATGTCCTATGGTTTCGTTTCGTTTTCGTTTCTACTGAACTCTGCCCCCACCCCCCCACACGCATCTCCCTCAGTGACTGTACCCTCCACCCTGGCTTGACTGCCACACCCCCTCACATGCCACACATATTGCAAAACTATTTCTTACTGTACATATCTATTTATTCACTTATTACACTTTACACATGCACAAATGCTCTGCACTTTTTGCTATTTTGCACTGTTTAGCCATTGATAAAAAACTAGTAATAGTCTTTTTGTTTTCTAAAAACTCTGCATTACTGTAACCAACACTGACACACCGCCTTGCTAGACCTGTTTTTTTACTCTGTGTACAGGTCTTTGTCGCCACTCCTAAAACTATTCAGTCGTCATGTCACACTTACTGGTACGTCCTGCAGACCGGTTTTTAGTTCCGCTTGGCAGTTAAAATATTTGTGGAACACCTGAGAGTGGAAAATGAACCTTTCTATTCTATTTCAAGCTTGGTAGTATGAATATCTGTGGTGAATTAGTTGTAATTCTCCCTCCTGCTTCTCTGTAAAGGTGCGCTCACAGTCAGCAGAACGTCTGTCTCGTACCTTACGTCCTTACTTTCAGGACGGAGAAGGTGTTGGTTTCATTGCAGGAGTCTGAGGGCGTTTTGCACTGCGGGAGCATTTCCTTCTCTCAAAGAAGGCTCTTGTAGACAAACACTGGTTACCAACTTGCCAGGCCGAATCTTTATGGAGTCGTTCACGTTGACACTGACTTCCTTGTTTATCTTGAATGGTGACAGAACATGTTCTGCTTCTTTTATTGGGATTTCATCAGATGTCAGCTGGGTTTCTCCTTGTTTTATGCAGGAAAACACTGCACCTTTGGTCTAATAGTGGACGTCTGTCTGCCTCCAAAACTGTTTTCTAGACTCGCCTAATTAAATAACACTGTATACCAGGTGGTTTTTAGGAAAGAAGAAAAGCCAGGATGACTCATCGTATGAATGTATCACACCTCACCGCTTATAAAAGCTGGTTCTAGTCAGAAAATGGTCGATTATCATATTCATGACGGTCAGGAACACATCCTGCAGCAGATTAGGCTGATTGTGACGTCACAGAGGAGTTTATGTGCTTTTATGTATAAACTTACTGACTGAACAGGTTACATGTTGAAGGCCTTCAGATCAGAGAGAGAAGAGAAAGATTCACCTGACTGGTCTCCACTGGTTACACAACACTTATTGCAGATGAATAATAAAAGCTGCAGTAAAGAAATGTCCTCACTTTGAGACATTCAGACAGCTCCTTTAGAAACTGAGATTTTACGACTTCAAAAAGTACAATGATGTCAATACGCAGGTTAAAAAATGTCCTTTCTTTAAAAAGGCACTAAGGTTTCGTTTGGCGTCAACTTGGTTTGTTTCTCTTACTAAGATGTAAGTGGAGGGTGGAGACATTCCTCATGTTTCCTTCTTACATTCTCCGACTACATCTAAAGTCCTTTGGTTTCTCCTTCTTAACGCTTCACCGCAGTTCAACTTGTTTTTGAGAAACTGCCACACATAACGCTGATTATCTGCCACAGAGATTAACAACCGGTAGAACTGGTCGACTCAATCCTCTGCAGCTTTGTGTGCAGTGTGAAATCATTCTGTTGGTCCTGTGATCACAGCGATGACTGTCCAGCTGGGACTAAACCAATAAACAGTATAAAGTATCTTCGGTGCTTCCATTGATTATCACATGAAACGAAGCTGTGAACGCCTTCAACATCTGTTGGCGACCTGGAGAAGGTGCACCGGGAACCGCAGGGTTGGCGGTTCGAACCCCTGCTGCTCCATGTCCCATGTCGAAGATGAATTCAGTACCTGTCAGTTTAGACACAATTTCTCATCGAATCGATAAGAAAATGTGTCTCAACTTTTGACTGGTGCTCTATATGCAGCAGATAATAGAAAGACATTTGCTAATAAGTATTCAATAAGAGTACAAGTACTTCAAAAGTAACTGAGTAACTAACTGTGACCTGTAGTTAAGTAAAGATTCAAACATTGACCTCTGAGATGTAGTAAAGTACATTAAGATGTTTAAGGAGCAGAAGCATGAAGCGTCATTAGATCAAAGTACTGAAGTAACAAACAGTACAATGTTCACTCTCATTCCATCAGAAGATCTAAACTGTCTGTTTTATAGTAAAGACGTCACATATTTAAAGTCTTTGGGGTTTCAGGACTTGTTGAATCGGAGGCTCGGGTCAACATTTATAGTCAATAACCTGAACAACAGACCATCGATGAATTACATTGTCCCCAGTTTGTAAAGTCACTTTGTTGCCAGAATGAGAAAGAGCAGAATGCTGAATCTACATGATAATAAGACATTAGTCATTAAGTCATCAGTCACCTCATTGTGTGTAAATATTACATTACAGGTCATTTAGCAGACGCTTTTATCCAAAGCGACTTACATTACACTTTAAACACATGGCTTTTTTCACATTTTGCAATTAGGGGTCAGGTGTCTTGCTCAGGGACACTTTGACTTGAGACATGGGGCAGCCTGAAATGGAACCACCACCTTGCGGTTCCCAGCGCACCCGCTCTACCCCCTGACGACACAAATACTCCTTTGACAGACAGGAGTCTGAGTCAACAAAGCGAACAGTCTGAGTGATGTGAATTCCTTTCATAGTTTCTCTTCTGTTTCTGTCCTCGCTGCATCTCCAAAAAGAGGCGTGTCTCTTCAAACAGCTCCAACTACAACTGACTCTAAACCACGCCCACCACCACACGGCTACTTAAAGCAGCGTCTCGTTAAAGCCTCAGGCTGTAACACGTCGTGTCCTCGCTGCGTATCTCGAGCTGTGAAGAGTCCAGACAGAAGAAGAAGAACCGCGTTCTGAGGACATGCGAGGTAATGAATGAATGAATTAATGTCTTGATGTCGGTGTTTGTATCATTTGGTCAAACGCATCCGTCCTCCTGCTGGAGTCAAATTAAAGATGAAATCCTACTTTAAGGGTTCTGAACAGAAGATGGTTCCGTGAGTTCCTGCCGCTGTCTTTAAGGAGTGTTTTAGTTCGTAGAGGGTTAATGAACTGGTCCACACTCCAGTACAGGACGTGCAGGCTGATGGTACCCAGACAAAACTAAACGAATCTTTATTAAATACTTGTCTTTAATAAAGGTGCATTTTTATTTGTACTCTTTATTCTGGTGTTTATAGATGCAATGTGTGTGTTGGGATTACAAATGTAGCAGTTACGCATAATCAAATACTAAGAAGTGGCAGAATAAGCAGCTTTTACCGTCAATTCAGTGCGGATCTTCAACATGTTGCACAACTCTGCTGTGCACGTGAAACCGGCCAGTAATCACGTGACGTGTCCAACATGGACCAATTCATATCCAGATGTTACTGGACAAATAATCTACCAATCAGTAAGTCGGCAACTATTTCGTGTTTAATATTAAACTGATAAGTTTAGGAGGGCGGCACGGTGGCGTGGTGGTTAGCACTGTTGCCTCACAGCAAGAAGGTCCGATTCCGCCCAGTGGCCTTTCTGTGTGGAGTCTGCATGTTCTCCCCGTGTCTGCGTGGGTTCTCTCCGGGTTCTCCGGCTTCCTCCCACAGTCCAAAGACATGCTCTGGGGATCAGGTTAATTGGGGACTTTAAATTGCCCGTAGATGTGTGAATGTGAGTGTGAATGGTTGTGTGTCTCTGTGTAGCCCTGCGATTGGCTGGCGACCAATCCAGGATGTACCCTGTCTATCGCCCGAAGTTGGCTGGGATGGACTCCAGCCCCCCCGCGACCCTGTGTGCAGGATAAGCGGTTTGACAATGGATGGATGGAAACAAAGTCTGAAGAGATGTAAAGACATTGTTTCCTGATGTGATGATGATGATGATGATGATGATGTTTGAGCCTCTTCTCCTCCGTCTCCTCTCACAGGGAGGAGATGATCTGCAGCATCCTGGTGATCTTCATCCTGACCTCCTGTGTCTGTGGTCAGTTCACTTTTGTGTTTGTGAAGCAGCTGTGAAGCATCAGCACACACTCCTCAGAAACATCTGGAGATGGAGTCTAAAGGCTCCATGTTAAAGCTGTCACTTTGTCACCTCCTCCTCTCCTTCTCTGTCTCCTCAGCAGGGTCATTTGTAGTGAATGTGACACAGAGCTGGTATCATGCAGAGGAGAACCACAACATCTCACTGGAATGGATGTTCCCCACCAGCACGGACCCCTCCCCCAACGTCCTTCATGTCTCCTGTGAGACGGTAATTAATCAGATACACTCAGTCCTGTTTCATCTGTATGAAGGTGTCGAGGTACCAGAGCTGCAGGATGAACGCTTTGCAGGACGAGTCCAGTGGGACAAAGACGTCCTCAGAGAAGGACGACTCAGACTTCACATCTCCAGACTCCAGACTAATGACTCGGGGCTGTACTGGTGTCAAGTGGACACAAGTTATGGGAGGAACTATAAGGAATGTCACCTCAAGGTCACTGGTAGGTTCATCAAGTTAAACTTACTAACACGTTTAATTCAGCAGCTTTATTCAGATAAATAAATCTTTTTCTTTACATGAATAAACAGATTTGTTGTGTCACTTTGCAGCAGCGAAGGATCGACCCGAACCTGAGACAACGAGTGACACCAGACTGACAAGGATCGTTCTCTACTGTGCTCTGGGACTGACAGCAGCTCTACTGGTTGTTTATTCATTCTATCGCTGCTTTACCAAAAGGATGAGAGATCAGTACAACAAACAATACATCTAAACCACAATTAAAGTTATTGATCCTTTAAGGTTTTGCACAGAAACAGTCTGAGTTGTTCTGACTGAAGTCCAGCTGAGACACATCTGGATCTTTGGATGTCTCCTGTGTGTCTCATGGACCAACAGCAGCATGAAGGTATCAGTGAGTCTACAGAGACACGTGTGACTCAGGGAGCCCAGCTGGTGAACGCTGAGCCCTCGTTGTGTGTGTGAAGGTCAGTTAGTTTAGTTTCATCAGGACCAAACTGAAATATATATTTTTTCAATAAAGCATCTTAAAAACCCAAATCAGTGTCTTCATTTGTCGTATTAATTCAATAAGTCACATAGTGATCAAATCCATCCTCAATACTACAAACGTGTCACATGAAGGTAAATGTTAAGAGAGAAGCAGATTAAATACACACAGCATACAAGGTACACACACTTCTCAGCATTCTGTCTATACAGTGAACACTCTTTTATTTCATAATGTGATCACTGAAGAGGTTGTTAATGCTGCTACATGATCTTCTAAGGATGAAGTTGTGTCATTGTGAAACTTCTCAACCAGCATCACTTAAATTGTATTTTTTATCTGACTGACATTCAAAGGAAATCCACAGTCTTTACAGACTGAAGTGTTTTTTTGTTCTAGACCTTCAGCTCCTCTAACAGAGACTGTGACTACTGAACATATTCTGCATTAAGCATCATGCTGCTCGTCATCAGAGACTAATGTTTCATCTGGTTCCTGTTCAGAAAGAAAAGGAAACTGATTAATATTCTGTATGTTAACTTGATTTTGCTCAGAGTGTCTGTTGATTTCTGGTGACGTCACTGTACGTCTGGTCATTGCGCCTCGCTCCGCAGAAGGAGAAACGTCACCACGTTGTGGTCGTAAATCATTTCACTGTCGTAAAGCCTGTATGAAGAGAAATAGAGCCTCACGCTGCCCCCTGCTGGCTAAAGGCTGGAGTGCACATTCTCTATAAACCCATTACAGGTCTTTATACAAGTTATGATATTTCTATAAAATACACTGTTCACTTGAAACTATATTTTTTGTCAATGACAACAAAACACATGAAAAAATATGTGTGGCCGTCACAAATAAAACAAAAACTTTGCACAATTAATACAATTAAATGCTGTTAATCACAGAACAGTCATGCGATTAATCAGGTTCAATTCTTTCATCTTCACTAATAATTACCACATCATACTTGTACAAAAAAATACACTGTTACGTGATTTTTTTGGAATACTTTGTGTATGGAATAAAGCATTACCTTTTTAATCACTACGAAATCAGCGTCTTCATTTGTCGTATTAATTCAATGATTCACATATCGATTAAAACCATCAACAATAATATAAAGAAAGCTTTTTTCACCAGGGAAATGATTAAGGAACGGCAGGATGGACAGGAACACAACTGTCTCGTTCAGAGATCAGCTCTTATGGGTCAAACTGAGAGGACAAACACGGCGTCATGTTTCAAAATCAATCTTGGCAAAAAGTACTTAAGCTTCCTGCAAAACTGCAGGACAGAACTCGTTGAGATGTGTGGTGTAGTAAACATTTAAACATTTACCTCTGAGATGCAGTAAAGTAAAGAGAACTGTCAGCGTCCAGACAAAGACCAGTGTACCTGTGTGAAGGACCTCTGACTACGAGAAGGCTGAATATGAAGTATTTTTACTGTACAGATTTCTTCAAAGTAAAAGCCTTATTTGTATTAAAAACAATATTTCTCCAATAAAAAAACATTCTTGCCAATAATTCCACACAAAGACCAGTGTACTTGTGTGAAGGACCTGTCAGACTACTAGGGCTTTTACTTTGGAGAAATCTCCATTTGTACTGTACAAATATTTCATTGTCCACGAGTAGTCAGAGGTCCTGTACACACATACTTCTACCAATG